TTGCTTAGAGCTGATGACTTATGCCTTTCTTACAACTTATGCAGTTAGCAAGCAACTGGGGAATCGGGCAGCAGGCAGAGAGGCTAATTGAATCCAGTGTCTTAACTTTCTTCTTCTTCGGATGTTGGGCTGTGACGGTGGAGGCTGCCTGATCATGTAACTGCAGAGAACATGTTCGAGGAGCACCCGATCCTGACTTTGAGATTACAGACTTAAAGGATCCTAGAGGGAGCCGGTCTCCAAGTGGGGAGGGGGCGGGGGTGCCGGACCTTTTTGAAACTGCCCCTCACACGCCTGCTAAATGCCGAAGCCGGTAAGTCGCCGAATGCCTCTCAGGAGAAAGGCAAACTTTTTCTCTTTGCATCAAGAAAAAGCTTTTTGATTGTTCCCCTGATGTGTCTTTCTTTTCTCCTTAAATCCCTCTCCATTTGTCCTTCTCTGCTTACTTTGCTGCCTGTAACCCGGAGCGTTCTTGCCCTGCAGTCTTCCCCCCATGGCCGTGAATGGCTTTTGGAGGAGAATAGTAAATATTATTTTGAGAATGGGAGAGAAACAGCAGGCACAGATAGGAGCTCATTTGTGAGCTGTGCTGGCTTTTCGTGTGGCAGACTTGAATTCAGACAGCGCTGTACATTGTTATTTTCATCAGTTTACAACTGATGGGTTTTCTTCTCTTAACTTTAATGCCAAGACAATATGCACATAGGAAGATGAAGGGTCTATGTCTGATGGATGCTAGTTTAAAAAGAAACCGTTGTGTCTTACAAGCAAGTGTATTTGCAATTTGAAAATTATTCTCAGAAATGCTTATTTATCTTACGGTGTTATGAGGCACTAGGGGAGATAAGTTGACTTAGCCTGGGTGTTAATTGTGACAGCATATTGCCGGTTTGGAGCAGGGGAGGCAAGCTGAGCGAATGAGTCTGGAAAGGGCAGGGTTTATAATCCTGTGCTCAGCATGGTCTCAAGTGGTCCCTGGAAGGATCTAGTAGTTCCTAGCAAGTCTGGTTTAACATTGATTTCTCCTGTGCCGTGTGGCTTTGTGGAAGCATTTATTCCACAATCATAGTTTCGAGAAGCGTTTGTCGTAGGGTCCAGTGAAGTATGTTTCAGCAGCAGTGACAGGCTTCCTCTCAGCAGTAAATCTTCCCTAGTTACAGATGTGATTAATTTTGTTTCCCTTTTCTGATCATCCTGCATGTAGCTGTGTTATAAAAGTTCTCCACGCTGGCTCCATGGCTTTCCCATTAGAACATCGCAGATGTGTCAAGGATGCACTTGTTCCAAAAGAAGCTGGGGAGGAAGGAGGCTCCACCCTCCTTCTCAAGCCAAATGGCCCCAAAGGTTCCCCATTCAGAGTCCTGGCAGCCAAATGGTGTACTATCTCTTTAAAGCAGCTATAGTTTGGTGCCTTGGCTTGGTCAATTTGTTATGGTTAAAAACTGTGGAGCCAGCTGTCTGCAATCTGATGTAATGTTGCTATGGAAACCAGAAATGAAACACTTAAGCATTCACCACAGAATTACTACATATAGCATTAGCCAAAGTAATTAAAAGTTGAGCCATATGGGCTTTCTGGTGGAAAAATCTGCAGTAGAGAGGCTAGAAATCAAATGTTTCTATTTACAATACTGTGAAGCCACTTTTATCCCACATCCTTTCAGTGGAATAAGATGCCTTTTTCTCTTGAAGGTTTGGGGTGGGGAGGTATATAGACTGCTGAGTCCACGCTCTTGTTTATTGGTGATAAAATTAAAATTTCTTTTAGTAAACTTTAGTAAACTCTGACTCAGGGAAAGGAGATACTACCATCTCATGGTTGAATATGTGTGAATATTTTTTCACTTTGGTTTATTTAAAATCTGTTGTTCCTATCCTGTTCCTTAGAATCATTTATCTTATATACGTGCAGATTTCCTTTATCTTTCACAAAGTTTCTTCAGGTGGGAATATTTATTTTTAATATTTATTTATAACATTTTAATTTAAAGTTTATATACATATATATTTATTTTGTGTTTCTTAATTTAAAACATTCTGAAACTCCTATCCTGGGTAGTATATTTCCTAAATAAAAAAAAAAAATGTATGTATGATAGCTATTTTCAGCAGCTGAGAAGTGGCACATGGTTATTTGAAAAGAGAAACATTACATGAAGCATTCATGCTTCACTGCCCAGTTTAGGAGAAATGCAGCTTTTTATAAAATCTTTATGTTAAAATGTGTCACAACATTTTTCCTGAGAATTCAGGAGAATGCGAGTCTCCATCCATCAAAAGCATCCTTGAACTTACAGGCTGACTTAAGAGGAAATTTCTTATTTAAAGAGAAAACATACTATATGTATTTCTTGAATGACTTGAGTTTTATCTTACATTMTTTTTCATATAAATTTTGCTGCATCAATCTTGTCAAGTCCAAAACATGATAATGCAAAGGAAATTGATAGTTGCCATGGTTTGTGATTTCTCAATGGCAAGCACCTCCAAAATTACCACCTTGTTCTTCTTCTTCAGAAAAATAGAAAAGCATCATTTCAATGTTCTAAAGAGCTTACATTTCTCCAAAAGTGGATGGAGCATGTGAAAGCAATTAACTAAGTACCTGGACTATGTTCTTTCTCACCACAGTGGATCTGGGCAGGGGAGAGCTGGGCTTTGTGGCGGGCATTGCCTGGATGTCTGTTGTCCTGGTGGAACTGTTTAGATTTCTCCCTGGAAGGTTCTGTCTAAAGCGTCTCCCCTGCAGATGATTTGTGTCTTTGCAGACTACGGATTTTGTATTACTAATTTCTGTATCCCATTTTTTTTTTCACTTCCTCATATGCCCCATCCATTCATTCATACAAACCACCAACTAAAACAACCAACAGCCAGGTGCAACCTCTGTGTTAGTTACAGATTTGGGGCAGGTAATACAGCTTCCTGTATCTTGATCACGAGCACCCTCTGCTTATTTCATTTTCAACTGATTCCAGTATTTTTAAGGCAAGGGTTGATAACATGTCCTGGGCTTCTCTCGTGGGTATTTTCAGAGACTTTCTGTCATGCACAGTTGCCGCTTCTGCTGGAATTGCTTGGCGTTCAAGCTGCATCACCAGGCACAATGTTGTCACATGTTTCTGCGTAATTCCATGTACCCTGGGCTCTTCAGGTGCCAATTACCCAGAGCAAGGGTTCACCGGGTTCTCATTCCTCTGGTTGACCACTGTGACCCATTTCATCACATATCAATGTTTCAACCAAGTAAAACTGAAATTTAAATATGACAGTATAAATATGTATCTGGTTACATGTATTATTTTAATTTTTTACCTCTTAAGTTTTAGCCTAATGTACCAAGCCTAATTGTCAGCATCCAACATAACCAACCTTCTCAGTTACCTGGGGATCCAGTTTCCAATCTTCTGGGCCAGGTAGCCAGTAGTGAACTTTAATTTTGAAATCTATACATGCTGTTTTATCTAAGAATTTGGAAGAAATTGGACATAGATGTTGATAAACCTCACAGAAGGGAAGATTGAACAGTACCCTCTCTTAATGACTTGCTGATAGGTTTATGATAATTAATCATTAGTGGTCAGGAGGGAGAAAGTACCGTGACGCTATGCTGTGAGCTCCAGGGACAGACCAAGGCCAGGAAAGTGGTGGTGTTTATCCCATAGAGAGGGCCAGAGTGCTAAGAAAATATTTGTGCTCTTAACAGCCTGCACTGTTGTTATGCCTCAGTCATTAATGGAATCTTCCCTAACAAGAGTTAGCTGTCCCCTGCTAACTCCTGCTTCCCTATCTCATCGTCTATAAAATTGGGATTCATGAGAGCTTTTCTTAGGCTAAAAGTCCCCTCATTCACATTGCATTCAGATATGTGGTTTGTTTTTGTTTTGTTTTTCGGTTTGAGTCATTTCGACCATTTGGTGAACCGGGTTTGAGGACGTGGAGGGAAGGCTGCTGTCAGGATGTGCAGGATTAGCTGGATGCTCGCTGGTCTCCAGGGTGTGCTGAGGCTGAGCTCCCTGCACAGCCCAAGCACTGGCTCATGCAGCACACTGTTAGTGGGAAACTTCTTTGGCTTTTCCTCATTTTGAATAGATACAGCAGAGGAAGCTGCATATTGAATGTTGGAGCGGACTTGGAAATGAAACCCTCATTTTGTTCACAAGGAAAGGATTGTTTTTAGCCTGGGTCACTGCTGCAGAGAGAGAATTCTCTCTCTCTCTCTCTCTCTCTCTCTCTCTCTCTCTCTCTCTCTCTCTCTCTGTAATGTTTGATACTTGAGGGAAAACAGCTGGGCCAGAACATACTTGGATCTCTGCAAGGCGGGATGGGATGCTGGGGAATATGGACTGGACTCTATGGCGGAAAAGGTCAGCTCTTTCCCTTGCTTCCCTTGGAGGAATGCAGGCTGTCCTCATCCTCGACTTGTGAGCCCCCCAAAGGAGCCGGGAGGCGGAAGGAATGGCTGTGATGTGGCATCCGTCCTGACAAATCGGACAGGAGGAGGTTCTGCACTGCTTCCCTTTCCTGCCTGCTGTTTTTGATTTTCGGGGGAGGACTGGAAAAAKTCAACAGAATTTTGGTTTGGAGAAGTAGTTGATGACCACGTTCAACAGCAAGTCCTGATGGGCCAGACAGAGGAGAGCCCGGCCCAAACCGCAGCAGTGTAACTGGAATTATAGGGCCAGCTCAGAGAGAGTCCTGCCGGAGAGGTCCTGTCTCTTTTAGAGACAGGGAACTAGTCTGATGAGATAAATGTCCTGTGTGCCATTCAAGGGCAAGGGTGTGTGTGTGCTTCATGCCCAGGACTTAATTCTACTTCAAATTAGACCTTAAGATGGTACGTGCTGCTGTGTAAACCTATCAGGCAAATCTGTTGGTACCCCAAGTTTGGCCGCAGAACTGCCCAGGTGCTGGCTAATAGGAAGGCCAGCTATACCCAGATGCAAGAGCAAGGCTCTGGAGCAATTATCTGATTAATTTTTCCTCTGTTTCTTTGCCAGTCAAGAGAACAATCGGATGATGAGACCGAGGAGTCGGTGAAGTTTAAGAGGTTACACAAGCTGGTCAACTCCACTCGCAGAGTCAGAAARAAACTAATTAGGGTGGAAGATATGAAAAAGCCCAGCACTGAAGGTAAAAAAGCCAACTCCACCCTGGTTATTCCGAAAGAAGTCACTTGGGGTCAGTTTTTCAGTAGAAACAGTATGATTTCAAGTGGAAAATGGATTGAGCTCTGGCCCAAGGCTGACGGAATCAAGTCTGCTCRTTAGCAGGGGGATGCTTTCCCTGTTGTGGAAGGGAGGAGCCCTGAGCCCTGGGTTGAGTATTTCAGGGGCTCAGTAATTTAAATGTGACAAACATGGGAAATGGCATTATGTGACAGTGAAATTCTCTCAAGTGTGGTATAGCTTTAATTACGAGTCTGTACCATTTTATATAAACCTTGCAACTTCTTAGCATAAGCCTCTACTTCCAAAAAGGTTTGTAGTTCTTGCTCAGTGATTTTAGTCCAGATATGATAGATAGTACATCTGTGTTGAACAAACATCTAACCATCAAGGCACTTAATATCCCTTTGAATCTCTGAGGGGTGATTTGTACTCTGGTAAACAATCTCAAGTCTCAATTGAAATAGGGTTTTAAGGACCTTCAGTTCTGAGGGGATCTTTAAGAGCAGTATTACAGACTGCTAAGATGAAGCAGTAATGTCGAGAGAGAGCCCAGCTGGGCTTTACTGTCCTGAACAGTTAACCTTTGAATTGCAATTATGACAGTTTAAATCTCAGCCTTATTCATCTCCCTTTTTAGTAATATGCATTTGCAGCATCTTGTAAAATTCTCCCCAAAAAGAACAAATAAAAGAATTTCTTGTTTGAAAATGATAGTAAACAAACAAACAAAAAAGCCTACATCACTTGTTAAAATGTCACATCTACATGATGAGGAATTTCAAAATTTTAACATGTAGGTTTCAAAAGTATGATCGTAGAGGCCTTCTTGTTCTGTGTAAATAAAATCAAGGCATGTAGGGAACTGTATTTCCCTTTATTTGCAGAGATAAGAGTTTGTTATTACTGATGCTTTTTAATTTTGTTTGTTATTATTTGTTGGTTTAAATCATCTAAAATAGTACTGAGGAGGAGGGGGATCCTGTGGAAGAATGGAGGTTAGTTAGAAGGAGAAGAGGGGAGCCAGTGAGAGAGCCATCAGCTTCATGGCTGGTTTTATAAACTTGGAGTTGTCTTTGATTCCAGGGTTGCATCTGGGTGTCTTTTTTGCACAGTAATTCTGTTTACATTTGAGGAAAATGTTGAGTTTTGAATGTGTCAATCCTGCCTGTCAGCTCTGGTTCCCATAGGGTGGGACACACCCTGATTTCCTGCTTGTTACTGTTGGGATAACCATATGGAGTTTCCAAGTGTAATTCTGAGGGCACATTTTAAAACAAGCTTCATGCACACTTGCCAAAGTCAAATTTCAGCTATAACAAATTGGTGGGGCTTTATCCATAAATAAAATGGATGAAGTACCCAACACTGGGCCTGCCACCCTAGAGGCCCTTCGTGTGTAACAGTCAAGTGTCTTGGGGCAGCCTTCACACTAGAGTATCATTTTAAACATACAGAGATGCCTTGCTTTGTATATTTATGCCAGAATAAATCAATTCAGCTATCTCTGAGCAGCCTCATTGAAAAAAAAAGGGAAAATAACATCCAAAGATTTGTAACTAGAGGGTAAAAAGTAATCACTGCACGGACCGCTGGGTATGAACGAGGCTTCACAGATGGAAGATAGACTGGATGAGCTTAAGTTGTAAGTCCCACGGCTTGTCCATATCACCCAGAGAGGCCCCAGGTGTGTGTGGCACTCAGGGTGTCTGCTTTGGGCTGTCCCCAACCCCCTGCTGCTCTGGAACTCCCTCTAGCACTGGCATGATGGAACTCTCTGAGGCCTCTTTGGCCAAAGAATTTAGGACCCATGTTCCTTATAACCCCTCTTCTTCAAAACCTTTGGACTCAGAGAGCTGATCCTGTCACTGTTTCCCTGCATGCCTAAGTTGTCTGAATAATAATTGTCCTTCACCAAGAGCATTCTCTGTGCCCAGCACTTTCCATTTTATGTTGTCTTTTAATATGTCATCTTTAGAATACCCACCAAAGGCAGGTACATGTGCCATCCTCATTTGACAAATAAGGAAACTGAGACACAAAAAGGCTAAGTAATTTACTCAAGGTCAGCCAGACAGCAAAAGGTCCCGAATTGAGTCCAGGCAGCCTGACTCCTCAGTGTCTCCACTCAAAAGCCAGAACAGTTAACAGCTCTTCACTCAGTTTCCCCCGCCTAACTTGAGTGTCGAGTCCATATCCTGGCATTCCTGGCCTTGGACAGTATTTAACACAGGCCACAGTGGCTACTGTCATCTGCCCATTTCTGTGTCTTGTCCATAGAACCGACATTCCTCCTGTCCAGCTTCAAAAGTAGCTTCATGTGTCTCTTTTCTTTAAATGTTATCCTCACAACATCCGTGTTGGGGATATTATGTAAAGATAGGTAGGCACTATTACACAAAAGTAATCATCCAAGGTCATAGAGCTGGTGAGTGGCAGAACTGGAGCCAGAATCCAGAGCACAAAGCTGTGTCCTTGGTGTTAAGTTACCCCATATCCTCCTGTCAAAATCTCCTTTCCAGGGCTGGGGTTGTGGCTCCACGGTAGCGCGCTCACCTAGCACATGCGAGGCACTGGGTTCGATCCTCAGCACCACATAAAAATAAATTAATAAAATAAAGGTATTGTGTCCAACTAAAAAAAAAAAAATCTCCTTTCCATATTCACTCGAGTGTCATTCTGCCAAGAAGACACTTGTACCTTTAAGTCAGAGCAGGATAGAGAAATAATGCTCTAACTCCAAGGAGTCCAAGTCAAGGCTGGGAGTTCAGGCTGCCCAGAGTCTGCACTGCACATGGCCTTCACTCAGCGCAAGCACAGGACGCGGCTCTTCAGAGGATTTGCCACATTTCCTCCCAAGTTCTTACCAGGCTCCAACTCTCCAGAACCCAAAACACAGAGCCACACATGTCATGTGTGCTCCAGCTGGTACCAGACTCAACTGTGACACACAAGTATTGGAATCTCTGATGACAACCTTAAACCCAGTCCAGAACATGTTCAGACCACTGCTGAGTGACAGGTCCTTCAAAAATCCAGGTTAGACCAACCTGGTCTCCCCCAATCTCCTGTAGGTTGCTGAGAGCTTCTGCATATCCTGAGACACCTGGGCTTTACCAAAACTACACCCAGGCGTGGGTTCTTTAAAACAGTTCTCTGTTGCGCTGTCTCTGTCACCAGGCTGTGCCTGCAGACCTGGCTCAGATGTTTCTTTAAGTTTCCCTAAAAGATCCCTGAACAACTCTTCAGTGAACTTTGTGCTGGACATAGTTTAGTCTCCTTCCCCGCTTCCCTCCCTTCTCTACCACCATCTCCTGGATGTGAACACAAAGTCCATTTTGGGTAAGATTGAATAGCAGTTTTTTTTTTTTTTTCTTCCTTGTATGTTTGTAACAATAATTACCATCAATTGGGAAAAGTAGCAGTTTTTAGAATTTGAAAGGACTGGTACCATTCTGATCACACACACACCTCCCTCCCTCCCTCCCTCCCTCCCTCTCTCTCTCTCTCTCTCTCTCTCTCTCTCTCTCTCTCTCTCTCTCTCTCTGTCTCGGAGCATTCCTGTCCCTTTTTCTCTTGACATTTAACTAGGCACTAGCACCCTCATCCCAGCTGGCATATTTAATGCTGTCCTTCTGTTCCAAGGAACTTCGTATTTTTTCCTGTTCACTATTCAGCTGGCAGAAAGCTGCAAAGTTCCAGCATTTCCTTATAATTCGAGGGACACAGCCAGTTGGGATCGCTACACCCACAGCTTGACCTACTTCTTTCCTCACATCTGTTCACATAACACATGCAGAAAAGAACTCGGCTTTCCTGCCAGCAAGTCCAAGCCTTTCCACTGGGCTCCAGAGGGCTTGGCTTGCTACCTGGCTCCAGCGAGGGCTTCATGGGCTGGAATCCTTTAGACAAAGTGGAACACTCGCTAGAGCTGCCTGCGTGTCAGGGCCCTTAAATGCCCCTGCTTCAGCAGGGTCTGAGTGGATGGGAATATCTGGCTGGGATCACCCAGTTCCCTAACTTTTTGTGTTCTGCCAGTCAGCTGAAGACCATTTTTCAACCACATTTGCAAGATATAACCCTTGATGGTGTTTCCCCACCCCAAATTTCTTGGAGATTTAATCACTTAAATGGCAATATGTACCAATAAAAGAAAAAAAAATCACTGTCAGCCACCTGGCATTCATGAGGCTCCAACTATAAAAAGCCATCAGAGCCAACCCAAAGGAGGGCCTTTCAGAAGGGGGAAAGCTGATTCCCACCTTCTGAGGGTTGCCCTTAAGCTGGGGAGGTGATTGTCTAGAGATGGGAAAGTGTGTCATGATAATGATTGGCTTGGATTTTGCAAACGGCATTTTTAGTAGATCCGTGAAGATGTTTGGTCTACAGAACTTCTTAGAGAAGGAGAAGCAAACACATCCCCACCTTTAACAGTAGGCTCCTATGAAACCACACGTTTGCATGGTGTGATCATTTTTCTTTGTTATATGCATATTTAAAGTGTGTGTGTGKGGGGGGTGTTTATGAAGAGTCATGGTATGGGCAGGGAGAGCTGTGATCACTGTGGATCACCGTGGACCTAGCTTGTGGGAGGGAGGGAGGGAGGTGAAGGAAAGCTCCCTCGTGGGGGAAAGCAGAGGCTTGGTCTCAGGGGCTGTGCTGGTTTCCCTCCAGGTGGGGAGGAGCATGCGCTGGAGAGCTCCCCGGTCCTGGATGAAAGGTCCGCCCTGTACTCTGGAGTGCACAAGAAGCCTTTTTTCTTCGATGGCTCTCCGGAGAAGCCTCCTGAAGATGACTCCGACTCTATCACCACGTCCCCGTCGTCCAGCAGCCTGGACACCTGGGGAGCTGGCCGGAAGCTGGTCAAAACCTTCAGCAAAGGAGAGAGTCGGGGCCTGATTAAGCCCCCCAAGAAGATGGGGACGTTCTTCTCCTATCCCGAGGAAGAAAAAGCCCAGAAAGTGTCGCGCTCCCTCACCGAGGGCGAGATGAAGAAGGGCCTGGGGTCCCTGAGCCACGGGGTAAGTAYGGACGGTGTTTTCTTCTATGACAGCCACCGCCGCCGCCACCACTTCCTGGTGTCCCTAGAGGAGGTTCAGAGTGTCCGCAGGCAGATCCGCTTGAAGAAGACGGATACTAATTATTCCTGTTCCAGAGCTTTTCTCTGCCAGCGTCCCTCCCGAAAAGGCGTGAACGGCACCACCTGCGACCTGCAGCTGCCCCGGCCCAAGCCCAAAGGGGGCGGCGGCTGCGGCTTCCCCGGCAGAAGGGTGCGCGCGCGCGCCTCGGTCAGCGAGTTCAATGTCACCTACGTGGTGGAGCGGAGTCTGTACAGCCACCTGAACCTGACCCAGCTAGTGCGGCCCGCCTCAGACAGGACCCTGAGCAAGGCCGAGAAGCAGGACCTGAGGCGGTGCTTGCTGGAGGAGGAGGAGGAGGCCAAGCGCAAGTGGGCAGCCACAGTGGACCGCTGTACTAAGAGGGTTCTCTTGAGAATCCACCAGAAGTCTGTGAGTCTCCACGACGGTCGTGAGGACGGCCTTGTCATTTCCGTGAGGTGCAGTCAGGCAGTATGGCCTCTCTTTTTCTGGAGACTGGCTTCTTCCCTTCTCTTCCCCTCATTCCTTCAGGGTCCATCACTCCATCACCTCCAGTTCCTAAATGGCTCTCGGTCCCTCGTGGCTTTCTTCTCCCTTTCCATTTCTCCTGTGGCCCAAGGGAAGCTGTTGGATGTTTAATTAAAATGCAGTCCTGAGGCTGATGCCCAGAAGGGCATGCAGGGTACAGGGGTGGGGCCTGGCGGCCTTGTAGGAGTGGCCTTCCTGATCCCCAGCCATCACGTCACTTGACCTCAAAGAAACTGATTCAAAACACAAGGACAGTTGGCCCTCGGAAAGGCAGGCTGACGCTTTCAGTTCATGAAAACAATAGGCACGGGCTCCTGGAAATTTTGCCATCAACACAGCCCACCATTGGTGATTGGAAACCGTTATGAAGCCCATCTCTCTTATTTGTAGGGTGGTGAGTTCTGAAATCCAACAGGGGAAAAAATGAATTTGAGCACTTTTGCTTTACTCAAGTCGATTTAGCATTCTTATCTTGTTAAACAGAGGAACTGAAGGCTTTTGGTAAAGCCTTCTAATGCCACATGGACTCTTCCATACATAATGAGGAATCAAGTCCAAATAATAAAATGTTTTTTCAAGTTTAATACTGAAAGGTCAGAGAGACCTAGTACAATTTATTTTCTGGGCATGAATTATTTTGAACTTCAAAATATAGATATTTTTTTCCCTGGAATTACCACCTCACTTTGAGCTTGCACAATGGCCCATGTGAAATGGCACGGAGGGAGGAGGAACTGGCACCGCTGTCCTCTGGCACCTTGCTTAATCCACCCGGGCTGTTGGCTCCGGGCCCCTTTGAAAGGTCTGAAAGAACCTTTACAGCAGGATATGCTTCGATGGTGGCTTTTCCCAGGGTTCCTTCACATTCATGAATAGGACGTTCTTCCCCAGACGATTACTGTAATTTAAATTCATTCAGTCAAGTTCTGCTTTTGTGAAAATGAAGACTGATTGGTCAATGCCATCCTTAAAATGACCTTCTCTGTTCTGAAAGGATCTTGGATCCTTCCTCACCCTTGGGTTTTCCAACTCTTCTCACATGCATTGACTTTCTTCCTAGATCTTATTTTCTATCTTTTCACATTTGTATGCTTCTTGCAACACTTTTAATACTATTAGTCTTGTAGCAAAAGCTTTTCTTCTGGCTCTTTCTCCATCATGGCAACAGTTTTTGTTGGTTTTGTTTTGAAATAACAGAATTGTCTTTTGTCACTCATTCAGCCTCTGGTCTTCTCTGACCCACAGATCTTTTATAAAATTCTTTTATGTGTGTATGTGTGTGTGTGTGATTACTCTATATATACTTATATAAAACCTCAAAGGAACAAAGCCACTTATTAATTGATGACTCATCTCTTGTGAGTTTAAATTATATAGTACTGAGAATTTATCCAGTTTGAGCAGCTTGAGTTGCTCATGAGCCTCTCATTTATTGCCAGATTAATAATAGAACTTGATCAGGTCTGTCTCTCAAGAAGTTATATTTCTGAGATTTGTGTTAATTAACATTGTGGGCCAACGATCAATTTTCACTGACTTTGAGGATGAACATCGGGGCTAGCTTGTCTCTGAGCATCCCCCACCAAGATGGTGCTGTGTAATCTTTGTCCCAATTATCAGTCTGAGCTGGGTATTTTTAAAATGCTATGAACTTGAGAAACTACTGGATCATTTTAATGCAGAGAATGTAAGAGAGAATATGTGTTTTCACTATAGAAGGTGTTTTTTTTTTTTTTTTTTCTTTTTCCTGCAGGAGATGGAACCCAGAGCCTTGTGCATGCTAGGCAGGCGCTATGTCATTGGGCTACACCCCCAGCCTTGGGGCTTTGTTTTTGTAAAGGATCATTCTTATTTCTTTTCTTCTTTCATTTGAAATGTTCTCTTCCATTCTCCTTGCCATATACTTCCTTCATTTTTTCCAGAGTGCACAGTTTCCTTTAATCTTTAGCCTTGATCTTTTTTGCCTTTCAAAAATGCCATATATGCTTGATGAAACCTCAGGGAAATGGTAACGCTTTGTATTCACTGGAAATGGTCATGTGTCTTCCTTTTTATTTGGTCATTCAGTTTTTGTTTGGAAGAATAGACATGCATGACATTTGGGAATTTTATCCATTTTAAATTCAGCCTCCAAAACATGTTTTCAACTGCATGACCATCCCATTGACTAGCTCTCCTCATCCCAAGCATCTATCTAAAATGTTTTATAATTATCTATACTAGAGATTATAAGCCAAACAAAATCACTTAAATTTATTTAGATGGCCAAAGTCAAAGATGGTTTTATTTTTCTTCTTGTATTCTCTTTACAATTCATTTTCTCTTTTGAAGGGGGCTGCTTCAAGGACTACTTGATCTTATTAGAAGAAGTTGGAGATTCATTCAAGCAATGTTTATTGTTATATTTTTGTCAGTTCTCCATTGATAAGAGCAGCAGTGTTTCAGATATCTCAGCGTATCACTGGGAGGAATTTTAGTTGGTGGGGAAGCAAACCAGCCCATTCTTTCAGCTTTTTATTTTAGGCATAAATGCATACAACGGGTGTATAGAAAACATAAATGAGCTTCTAATTTATTGCAGTCATCGTTTCCACATGAATTCTTTGTCCGTTATTTCATATGCATCAGAAATAACGTGCTGGGCTCCAGAGTTGCAGGCAATGTCATTTAGAGCAGGGACGTGCAAAAGCCATAAAGTAATCAGGCATCTGGGCGCCATACTGTGTCTGTGAAACCCTGAGTCACAGGAAAGGAACTGAGTAAAGTCGCTGCCTTTGCAAAAATGAGAAAACTGATGTGGCATTATAAACCAGAAAGGAAAGTTAATGTTAAAAAATTTGCTTTGAGAAATGATCATCGTGCTACTTCCCAGTTGGATGATTTGGTGGCTGTCTTTGCACAGAGAGTTCTTTCTCCTTTTTTTGAACTACACAGAAGTCTAGTTGAGTGAAAAGGAAATCAGTTGACTAATATTTAACAAAATTAAATTTACATCACTGGAAAGCAAGTTGGTAGTAGATTTTTTTTTTTTATCAGCAATGATTCTGCTGAAGAAAAACTGTTCTGTGGCAACCTGAATGTTAGTTATCCTCAAATGCCTTGCTCTTTCTACCCTGCCTTATGCCACAACAGCTACCTCTCTTGTTGTGACCTGTTCCTGGCATGCTCTGGTGTTCCAATTGAGCTCTCAGATTGTAAGGCCCAGAATGGAGCTCCAGCCCTTCATTTGCATATTTATGATATTGCTATGATTTATGATTTATGTATGATTTATGATATGATATTGACAAAGCCGGAACTTCAGCATCATAGTAGTCAGGAAAGGCTACCAAGTGCTCAGCATGGCCATAATGAAGTAACTGGGGACACCAGCATTCATAGAGGGTCTGCTTCATGCCAGGCAGTGTGCTAGGGGTCTTCAAATATGTGATGTAAAGATTATTTCACTAAATGCAGAATTCAAAGCTTGGAGAGTTCTAGTAGTTGACCTGTGGACACATAGCAAGTAAGTGACCAGACCAGAACTTGGGTCTTCCTCTGTGCAATTTCAAAAACCAAGTCATTTTCCTTCCCAGGATGCTTCTGTTTTCTCAGTGTAGTAAATTTTAAATGGCTAAAATATATCTATATTAAATAGGCAATGTTTGTAAGATGCATTGTACTTTCCTGTTCGTTTCTTCCATTTAATAGCTGTTAACTAGAGTTTTCTAAGAAACAGGTAATACAAAATATTGGAGCCCAAATCCACTATTCAGCTTTTATTGTTCACTGATTTTAAAAAAATCATTACTTACAACAAAAATTAGTGTGTTTCGGGATGGGTGTAGCTGGAGTGGTTATTGAATGGCTTTTGCTAGAAAAACAACAGAAATTTGACCTAATTTCTGGAAATACTAAGTCACTGAAATATAAGCCAGTTCCAAGAAGTTTGAAACTAACAAAAAGGATGATAAAGTTTTYACCCTTTTTTATAAAATCAACATTTTTCCTGTTGAAATTAAAGAGTGTGGTCCAAGACACTCACCGAAGTGGGCTTATCTCTCTCTGGGCAAGTGCGCCTCTGCTTCATCCACTGTGAGAAAGGGGCTAGAATTAATTAAGCTGGGCAGTTAGATGGGAAAGTTACCAGCGTTTTTGGCTAGGACAGGGAAGCCTGGATGAGTAATTTTGGCCTGTTTGGACTACCATAAACATAACCCTCTTCCCCTTTTCAGCATTTAAACTTAAAACAAGCCTTTTAGGAAAGCCTGCTCCCAGTAGCCCAGCAAAGACCGGTTTTCCGGGACCACTAAGTGACATGCCTTTATTGTCACTGATGTTCATAGCTGATGTTGAGGGAATTGGAAGGGGAAGTTCTATGTTGAGATCAGGGAATCCTAACAGCACTAAATTTATGGCGAGTTTTTTGTTAAAAAAAAAATCCAATTATCTTTTGCATGTTTCTGGGATTTAGACTTTGGGTGCAGGCAGGGGGCCAAGGGTGTGTGAAGGGCAAAGTAAGTGGAGTTCTCTTATGACATGAATCATGTGTTTTTTTTTTTTTTTCTCCTCATCATTTCTTGTTTCCTCTTTTCATCCCGTGCCGTATTTGTGATTCAGAGATGTCCCACAGAAGGCACGTGTGTGGGCTGGTGCTCAGCTGACTTAGCATAACTGGTTTATCCTGCCCTGCCCCCTCCTTTTCACAGAGAACCTGCAGTTTTGGAGGATTTGACCTGACAAATCGTTCTCTGCACGTGGGCAGTAACGCCACTGATCCCATGGTGAGTAGACACCAGAGGAAAGCCGAGGGTTAGATCTCACATGATGTGGTTGATGGGTTTGAGAATGGACCCTGGGTTTTGCTCCGTATCCCAAAGCATGTTTAAAAAGAAGCCCTCCTGCACCCATTTCCAAGACACTGCACTGTCCACACGGAAGAGGGGATGACGCCCCCCTCTGGCCTCCCTGACTTTCCTGAGAGGGGCTCAGTTCCTTAAATGACTTTGCTTCCCGTTTTTCTCAAGTAACAAATCCAGATGAGTCTGGCTTCTGTGGTCCCATCATTTGCACCCCCAAACCTTTTCTTTACACTAGTTGCGGGTGCACAGAACTACAACTACACAAGTAGTGAGACCCAATGGGGCCCGTGACTGTTCTGACAGTAGGTGATGGCATTTCTAATGAGCAGTCTGACTGTGGCTTAGAGCATGGCCCCCCAAGGTCTCGACTTAGCCTAGGTCTTTCTGATGTGGGGTACCCTAGAATGAACCCAGTCTTCTTAGCACCCAAGCAAGCCCAACACCTCAGTCACCAAGGTCACTCCATGAACATGCAGTAGGTCATGGTCTAGGGCCACGCCATCACTGTGGCATTAAAATTCTGTCCCGTAAAGTTTGACCTACAGTTTGCTTGTCCCTAACGTATATTGCAATSAAACTATGAAATGAAAATTTCAGCTTTATATTTGTTGTGCTCAATTATCAGCCAAAATTCCCATCTGTGAGATATAGAATGAGAATTTCCTGGAAGATAAAACTATTTTATTTGGATATCCAATTGTATTGATTCATAAGCCAGTAATTTTTATGTAGTCAATCTTTCTTAAAAATGAGAGAAAGTATTTTTCTTTTCTTTCTTGGAGTAAGTTTATTTTCTAATGCAAAAAAAGAGAATGAGAGATGGTCACAATCCCATTTGTTCAGGGAAGGAAATTTATGCACTCCTAGGCATTGACCACACGGAGCATCTGTGACAAAACTCCGATCAGATGTTGCATTTCTCATGTCTGAGCTTCTACTACTGTGTCCTTAGCACTTTCCTAGCATGATCCTATAGTATCATCCCTCCCTTCTCCCCCACTGCTGTGATTACATGGGCATTGGTTCATGTAAATCCCTCTGTACTGATGAAATGGAGCTCCCCTGTGTGTTTAAAATGATAGAAAAAAATCATAATCAGAGAAGAATGTACTAAGATTTAATAAAATAAAAAGTGACTCACATCCCATTTTAAACAAAAGCCTCCTAGTAGGTCTTAATTTCTAATTGAAAAGATAAATAACAGCATTGAGTTAACATAAGAAAAAAAGGGAATGCCAGTGTTTTCCTGAAAGCTAGAATATTAATGGGTTGGATAGTAAAACCTGTTTCTGGGCTCCATCTTCCAAGACTGAAAGTATTTATGTTTTGTCTCACAGGGTAAAGAAGGAGACTTTGTGTATAAGGAAGTCATCAAATCGCCCACTGCCTCCCGCATCTCTCTTGGGAAAAAAGTGAAATCAGTGAAAGAAACAATGAGGAAGAGAATGTCTAAAAAATACAGCAGCTCCGTCTCTGAGCAGGTCTGTGGCCACCCAGCAGAAAGCCCCTTGGGTCTTCCTGAAAACAGGGAAAGCTGAGTATGAGCCCTCTGAGATGTCTAAATGGTGCTAAGTGTGCATTCCTTGACACTAACCTGCCATAGGACCACGCTTTGTTTACGTAGACACTCAATTCATAAAACATTTATTCAGCACTTAGGGTTGTCCATGCACTGTGCAGTGTGCTGGAAATATGAAACACAGGCCCTGCCTTCTGCCTCCAGAGAGGAGGAAAGACAGCCACGGAAAGAAGAGATGATTCTTTTGTGTAATAAGCATTGCAAACTTGAACACAAATTTCTCTCACCAGAGTCCAACCTCAAAAAGTGTACCTGGACAGCAGACTTTCCAGATATAGCATAGATTATTCTAGAAACACATAGCAAATCGGAAAAGGAAACTCAGAAAATGCTTCCTGGCTACGGGACTTTGATAGATGTGAGGCTTCCATGGGAAGAAGGGAGGGGGGTGCTTTTACTAACTGGGCCTATCTATAGCCATGAAGAGATCCCAGAATTGATTTTCTTCCTAGCTCTATAAAAATTTTCACTGTCAGAAACGTGATCAGTGTCTGTCTTAATTGCATGGTTCAAAGAATAAAAACACTTGGAGAGCTGGGCCTTGAGGCAATTTTGACCATTGGATTTCCAAGCACCTCCCCAGCCCCCACTATGGAACCTTTGTGGTACTCATTCTGCAGCTTGTTAAAGTATCTGTATATGAACTGATTTCTTGAAATAGGTGGGGAATGACACTTTGTGTACCCAATAAAGAACAGCTGGAAGTACAGAGATTTTTGCTCAGCTGCTGCCCCCTGGTGGACATAGTGAGCTTAACACTAAGCATCTTCCTGTTGAGTTACTCAGCACCCATTGGTGGGCCCCCATCCCCACCCCCACTGCCCCCACTTGAATTCAGAGCCTGTACATCTTCAGTTTGTGTCCGTGGATCTCACTGTGGGAGTGCCAGGGATTTTTGGAATGTAGTAACTTTGTTAAATACCAAAACCATATATTTTGCTATATATCTGGGTGTTAAGTTGCTAACTACTTAGACAATTTGAATAATTTGTATAAATGGGAATATGAGAATCTGCCTAGTTGTTTTTCAAGGARAATGCTTTTTTTTTCTTTCTTTCTTTTCTTCATTTCCATCTATCTCTTTCCCTTCAGAATAGATTAAATGTCCTCTGATAATACTCTGCAATAATAGAGGATTATATTCGACCTACATTTAAAGTCCAGTCTGTTACTGGACTATTGAGTATGCTGAGTCCCTAAGCCTTTATCTAAATATTTTGTCTATGTGGAAGATAGATTTATACCTGAATATTTACTTGAAAAATAATTTTTGAATGCTTACTAAATAGTACCAGGTTTACAACTTTAAAATTGTGCAAGAACATAGGTTAAAAAGGAAGAGAATATTAACCATAGAATCTAGTATGAATGTAAAAATGGATTTGATTGATAAGAGTTGACAAATTGCTGAGAATTACAAAACAAAACCTGTCCACTCATGAAACTTGTATTTATTGAAACCATTTCAGGACTCAGGCCTCGATGGCCCACCCAGCTCCCCTGCTTCTGTACAGCCAGACTCTGAGCACATAGACAAACCCAAGCTCAAAGCYGGAGGATCTGTAGAAAGTCTTCGGAGTTCTCTAAGTGGGCAGAGCTCGATGAGTAAGTCCAGTTTGTAATTGTGGGTGATTTTCTTGGCAGTAAAACATCAGACATTGATTGAACCTCAAGTTCAGGCAAGTTAATGATAAGTAAGACCAAGTCCCTGCCCTTAGGGTACTGTTAGAGAGCCAGACCTGCAAAATACCTGGATTTGGAGTCATTTGTTTGATATCAGGTGTACAGCAGGGACGCAGAAGARTGAGTGATTAATATTGTTTGGGGAACATCGGCAGTGCGTCTCAGGGGAAGGATCTAGAGAAAGGAGAGGAATAAGCCGGAAGAAAAGTACATGAAGATGAGCAACAAAATAATGAGGGCTGGGGAAGGGAGGAGAATTAGAAACATCACTGATAAATCTCGCTCAGCTGCTGCAGGGCCAGGGGTGGTTGGTGTTAGCCAGATGGTAAAGGGGGAGGGATGAGCTTTAAATCCACCACTTTCTTACCCTGGGGTAAGTGACTTGACCACTTTGTTACCTCATCTGTAAATGTGATAAAAATTCACTGTGCTGTGCACATGAGAGGTCACAGTGTTAAAGGCAAAGCCTGCTTCTAGCACCTCAGTGTCCTCCAGCAGGGAGTCTCCAGGTCACTTGGATTCCCGCCATGAGGATGATGTGTCCTGAGCCCGCTGTCCAGCTAGGGTCTTGACGTGAACAGCCAGAGAGCTCAKGACTTTCCTGCTCTGGTCCTGCCAAGGCTGTAGCACATGACCGCTCTTCCTGGGCATCTGCAAAGCCTTGAGGACCTTTCAGCTTCACTTCGTGGGGATCTGGGTTCACCCTCCCTCTTCCTGTTCTTCCTGCCCAGGTGGCCAAACAGTCAGCACCACCGATTCCTCCACCAGCAACAGGGAGAGCGTCAAGTCAGAAGATGGGGATGATGAGGAGCCACCCTACCGGGGCCCCTTCTGTGGGCGCGCCCGGGTGCATACTGACTTCACCCCCAGTCCCTATGACACAGATTCACTCAAGCTCAAGGTGGGCCTCTCCCTGGGCACAGGGCAGCTAGCCCAGGCCCTTCTGTCTCGTTGAGAAGCTTTCTCTTCTCCATACCTCTGACCCCTGGGATGTTGCTGTGCAGACCAGAGGATGCCTTGGCCACCTTGGTGTCCTGGGCACCTGTGTAGTAAAATGAAACGAGAACCAGCCTGCGGTCGAGGCAGAGAGGGTCTTGTGTCAGTCACTCTGTTATCCCCACCTGCTACCCGGCCCCTGTCCTCTGTCCACTGTCCCCAGCTGCCCTCTAGAATGCTAATGGCTCCCCCATGCCCTGGTTTTCTATGCTTTTCCATCTGAAGATGGATTACTGCTTGCCCTGTGGAAACAGAGATATTTATGTGGGATGTAAAGATGGAGTTCCATGAACTATATGAAGTGATTACAGGGCAAGGATTGCCACTGGCTTAGGACTGGTAGGAAATTCTTTCTCCAAGAAGAAAGAGCACTGCAGGTAATGGGAGGGTGTTCAGAGAGCTGAGGGCCAAGGGCTGCCTGGCTGAGGGCACCAGGAGACAGCCCAGGCCCTGCTGGCCTGCAGTGCAGTAGGGAAGCAGGGCTGTGAGGTGGGGCCCATGTGTCATCCAAGTGCTCCGACTGGCTTCTTGGAAACTTCCAGTCATTCTGTGTTTCGTGCTTAGAAAGGTGACCCGTGGGACCTGGTTCTGCCTTCATAGTCTTTTCCCACCTGCAAGACTGGCAGGTCTGACTGATTCACGATCCATGCTTAGAAATGTTCCTAATGGAAAGATCTTTGTTCCCTGGGCCACAGAAGGGGGATATCATTGATATAATCAGCAAGCCACCCATGGGTACCTGGATGGGCCTGTTGAACAACAAAGTTGGCACATTCAAGTTCATCTACGTGGATGTTCTCAATGAGGAAGAGGAAAAGCCCAAGCGCCCCACCAGGCGGAGGAGAAAAGGAAGACCGCCCCAGCCCAAGTCCGTGGAGGACCTGCTGGATCGGATCAACCTGAAGGTCAGTCAGTTCTTACTCTGGTAGCATGTCTCCACCTTGCCTTTTCCTTCTCCCAAATAAAGGAAAGAGTACTGTCAGGTGGTCTACATTGTCCCACAAGGGTCACCCATTAATATGATAAGTACCCATTCACAGAAGGCACTGACAGTATCCAAATGTTGCCCTTGACCTCTGCTGGGGTGATAGCATAAGTCCTAGATCAAACTTTTGCTACTGGAAGTGCTGTAAGCCAAAACCTAGGTGCCCTGCTCACAGCTAGCTCCCTGGGGCCTGGAGGCAACTCCCCTCCCATGATTCTCCCAGCATCTAGGAGGAGGGCTGTGCAGTGGAGACTTTTTCTTCCTTGCAAACCTTCTTACTCCTGAGAAATTCCTGGGGCTCACTATATTAGATCTCATATCTCTGTGAATGAAGGAGGAGGCTTTTCCACTGTGGGTTGGTGATAAAGGAATTAGTTTATTTCAAGGGCACAATTATAATGCCAATAAGTGGAATTCATCCTCCTCGGCTGTGTACATCTTAGCCCATGATTAAGAAAACATCCCCCCTGCCTACTAAGCTGAAGAACTGGCAGGCACAGTACATTACAGATGATATCACTCTTTTGATTAGCATAAAAAAATGACTATGGGAAAAGAGCTGAGGGGTCTGAGGCTAGTTGTTGTCCTGCATCACGCAGCTAAGCTGTGACTCACCTTGGTCCTTCTGTCACACAGGAGCACATGCCCACTTTCCTGTTCAATGGCTATGAAGATTTGGACACCTTCAAGCTCCTAGAGGAAGAAGACTTGGATGAATTAAATATCAGGGACCCAGAACACAGAGCTGTCCTCTTGACAGCTGTGGAACTATTGCAGGAATATGACAGTAAGTCTCTCCAGACACTGAAGTGGCCATTGGTAGGTCAGCCACAATCTTTGGTCCCCTGCAGACCTTCCATAAGCTCTCGGTATCCCTGAAGTCACTCATGGGTCTTGATCTTTCCAGAGCCAAGGTTGATTTCACATTGTGCCAAGCAGCTCCAAGACATAAATTCCCTAGGGCAGATATTCCCATAATAAAACTTAATATAAGCCAGGCACGGTGGCAAATGCCTGCAATCCCAGCGACTTGGGAGGCTGAGATGGRGGGATCATGAGTTCAAAGCCAGCCTCAGCAATAGCAAGGCATTAAGTGACTCAGTGAGACYCTGTCTCTAAAACCTTGTGGCTTGGTGGTTGAGTACCAGAGTTCATTCCCTGATACCCAAATGGATAAATAAATAAATAAACCTTAATATACCCATGATACCTTTCCTGGCATATTTCTGGGGAACATTTGAGGACAGTGCTATATCTAGTGTCTAGGAAAATGAACTTGCAGTTCTAAGAAACCAGTAGTCTCCACCTTCAGTACCCTTGTGCTGTGCAGACTTCAGTAGGTAATTAGGATCCCTGGGTACAAAAATGTCTGGCCAACTGGAAGTTTCTTGCTCAGCTAAGGGTCGATTATTTCTCAAAGCATGTGACAAATGGCTTTCTTATTGAATAGAGTGGTTAGTGCCTAAGTAAAATTCATCAGTTTCCATTAAAGAAGGAGGCAATGTCTGTCTGAAGTGAATACGTAGTGTGAGCATTCCYAACTTAAATAAATGACAGCTTATTTTTACAGCCTGTGAACAGGATTCAGTGAGCGTGTGGCTTTTATGGAGTCTATCTGAATGCGTCAGATCCCCTGCTCCATTAGCCTCATCTTATCTTGCTCTTTATTCTTCAGTCTGACATCAAAAACATTCCTGAAATTATTCATCACCCAGGGAGCAACCTTTACCGTTATTGAATTCAAATACATTTTCTTTCAAGGGCTCTGCTTCAGGAATATTAGTAGCTAATAGCATTTCTATTGCTAAAAGACACACCAAAACTCTGGTTAATGGTGGAAAAAGAAATTGTACGTTACAGATGGCCCCAACTGAGGATGTAAAAGTAATATCCATTCAGTAGAAACCGTACTTCAAAGTTGGAATCCTGATGTTTTCTCAGACTACTGATCTGCAGTCTGATACTGTTAGGATGTGGGGCAGTGGATGAAGTGCAACACCCAGTAGGCCCCACAATCAGGAGGGTGAACAATCAACACGGCTGTGTCCCGCGTTGCTAAGCTGGGAGGTTCGCCAGGTTGGGTATTCTCAATCCATTCTCAGCTTATGGTATTTTCAACTCACAGTGGGGTTCTGGAATCCCATGGTCAGCTGAGGAGGTATCAGACCCAGGAGACATGGAAGCAAGTGTGTCAGTGCATTTTAATTCACTTCACTTTAAAAGATGCTCACTCTAAATTAACTGATAGCACAGAGGAGCATAGACATCCAAACTCTCAATAAATAAGCAGCCTTCAGGGTTAGATTTGTAGAAAATTACATTTTATATTTAATATTAATTTATAACCAGGTCTCTGGTAGTATTTGAGTCTCCCAAGAGACACCCTGGGGTGGATGGCCAGGTTGTGTGCCGAGTCTGGGACAGTGACTGGTATAGTCAACCAGCTATATTAATAGGAGTTAATATTAAACCATCTGTTTTCCTAAACCCCATCTGCTCCATAACTTAGCTCATTTGCTCTTCCTTGTACATGAAGAACAGCTGGTTTATGGATACTATTAATTACACTTCCTGTATCCCTAAATCCTGAGTATAAGGCAGGGATCTGTGCTTGATTTCTTTCATATCACATTGGCTCAGACTCATTGTTCTAGGATTTTTTTTTTTTTGAGGGGGGGAGTGGGAGGGTGGTTACTGGGAACTGAACCCAGGGGGGACTTAAGCACTGAGTCACAAGCCCTTTTTACTTTTTATTTTTGAGATGGGGTCTCACTAAGTTGCTTAGGACCTTGCTAAATTGCTAAGGCTGGTCTTGAACTTGCAATCCTCCTGCCTCAGCCTCCTGAGTTGCTGGGATTACAGGCATGTGCCACTGTGCCCAGCTAAAATCAGATCGTGAGATTTGTACCAAGGTTGTTTTGTTGTTTGGGAATTTCCCTCATACCATATAGTAGAATTTCCTTTTATTGGCTCTGAACCAAAGGCTCTGAGAGATCAGAGGTACCAATTAATGCCAAGAGGCTGGGTTCAGGCTTATCCTGGGGTTACAGGACTTTACTTCCAACGCAGTTAAATTCATCATGTTTAAGAAGTATTCCTTCTAAGTAACTGATAACTTAGAGGAACATGATAATAGGTTTCTTTCAAACTAAATTCTTGTGCTCTAGAGAGATAAAGGTATTGAGATCTTTGAAGATGCGTAGGGATCTTGAAAGTTTTCTAGCTCAGCCTTCTATCGAGAGCAATCAGTACAACTTCAGCACTGCTTGAAAATCAAAGCTGTCCAGAGTCTACCAGTGCATACAGAAGGGCAGCCTTCAGATGGTGTTCCATTTGGGAAAGACTCTAATTGCCTTATACTCTCTTGTGTCTGGTAAAGCTCCCTTAAATTTTTAAAAAGTTTTAAATTATGGTAAAGTACACATACTGCATAAAGGTTATCATCAACCATTTTTAAGTGTACAGCTCAGTAAAACAATAATTTTCATAAGAATTTTAATTAGGAATTATTTCAAGTATGCAGTACAGAGAAAAGTTAAACAGATATATACACATGCACTTCCTGAATTCACCTAAAAGTAACATTTTGTTATATTGCCTCAATCCTTATTTTCTTAAGAAATAATGCTACAGGTCCATTGAAACTGCTGCTACCCAAGAATCCCACTTCTCTTCTTCTCCCTTCTCTAGTTATCAGCTCTCCAAACAACTATGCATGCCCTGTGGCCCACCATCCTTGACATTTGAAGATTTCATAAGTGCCTTAGCATGTTCTTGCAGAGGTGTATGTACATGTGCATGCATGTATGTGCATATTTGGTTTCAGGTGGGGAGAACTTTAGCCCAAGGAGAGTCCCGTCAGGTCCAATTTCAGGTCATACCCAAACAGGGTTTCAGCCCCTTGCTCTTATTTGATGGTGAGAATTTGCAGGGTTCCAGCTCATCTTTCTCATTTTTTGACTTCAGCATGAATGCTGGTTAGCGAGGGAGAAGATTATGGGTGTGATTCTGCAGGGCATGGAAGAGCCATCCAGTTCTTTTTCTCCCTGAGGAAGACAGTGACTCCAGCCCCTTGCCGTATGCCTCAGGCTTTTGTAACCTGGACTATGGTTTCAGGTGTGGGGAGGGATCCTTGTCCTCTGTGCAATAACTCCAAGTAGCCTCATATGTCTGCTGAGGCAGGGATCCCCGGAATACAGAGCCAGCATGCATCCCCATGCAATGGCGGGGAACATGTTTTCTGTTTTATTTCCATTGGTCAGCACTCTGGAGTCTGCTTTGGCCACTGTGGTACACTGAACTGTTGCCACCAGAGACAGATGACACCCATTCCTCTCCCTGCATTGCAGCCGAGAGCTCAAAACCATCATTTTACAAGTATCATTTTTCTAAATAACATGCTAGGCTGGAACAAAGGCCACTCCAAATCCACAGGCTATTCCACGTGATGAGGACATCACTCCAGAATGTCCTGACTTTGGGCGTGGGAGGGGGTCCGTATTGGTTCATGAGCTTCTAACTTGTTTAATTTTTTCATTAATCATTTAACTATTAGCCCTCTTAACWTGGGGTTCTAATCTAAGAAGGTTTCCCTGTGAGAAATGCAAGCAGGAAGTGGCGAGGGGACAGTAGGAACCGCTGGCACGTGTGTGGAATGGCAGTCCTCTGCCTCCCCGCATTTTTATTTTGATGACCTGAGAAAAGGCATCATATTTCTGGCTTATTGATTTCTCTTCTCTTGGTGTATGTGGTTGGGGTAGGAGGGCGGGAGGTGAAGAGAAAGGAAAATAAATTAAAGCCATTTGTCATTGCAACTAGCTATTTTATGTAGAAAATGTTTTCTTGGTTTCTGTTTTATGGGACTGAGCACACACTGCGCATCATGCCACAATGAAGCTCTGCTGTAACCTCAGTGTCCCACATAAGGCTCCGTGGGCCCTCTCCAGGAGGTGCACGGTAAWGCCCCTGGGGAGCTGGGCACCCAGGTGATTTCCCATGGGAATTACTCTCGACAGGTCCCTAAGCAGAGAAGGCGGATGCTTCCTTTGCCTCCCACCGCTCTTGCCTCTCGCCCCAGGCTTACTGAGGTCTAATTGACAAATAATGATGCTTCTCTTTAAAAGGGTTCCTCAGAACAAGGATGCTTAACTTGCACTTGTCTACTGTAAGAGCATCTTCCRCTCACTTTCCACCTCAGAGGGTTTCCTGAGTGTTCCCCATCTCTGTTTTGTGACCAGAAAGTGAAAATGCTGGTCCCAGACAAAGGAGAAGGCCAAACAGAAAAGAAACCCTCTAGTTCATCCCAAGCAGCAAAAACAAAACAGCTTTCTCAGTTGAGGGGTCTCTGCCCGCTCTGGCCAACCTTCATCTTGCTGAGGTCATACAAGAGCCAGCACATGTCACAAGGGCTAAGAGTGCTCCTGGATGCTAATAATAGAATGGGATATTTCATTTGACAATTTTATATAAGCCCCAAATTCAGAGAGGTGGTAATGTCAGTAACCTGAAGTACCTGCCTTACAGGTCTCTAAAAAGGTCATGTCCAAATCCCACCTTTACTTGGCTCTTCCCCAATGGTGCCATCATTTGGAGGGGACCAGGAGTGCTCCCCCCACGCCAGTACCACACCCTGCAGCTCCCCTCCCCCGAGGGCCTTGGGTCTACCTCTGTTAGGTAACCCGAAAGGCACTGCGAAAGTCCTGCTCTGATTTGTCTTCATGCAATTGATATTTTATTTGAGAAAAAATGTATTCATTTGTATCTTAAAATAATTTGCCCCCTTCGAAAGTCTAAGGCTTAAAATCACGTGGCAGTGACAGGGTAAAGCTGGGACCTGACATCGGGACCTCTGCTGTTTGCACCCCTTGTGATTCTTTGTCATGTGTTTGCCTTCCCCAGGTAACAGTGACCAGTCGGGGTCCCAGGAGAAGCTGCTTATGGACAGCCAGGGCCTGAGTGGATGCTCCCCGCGAGACTCGGGCTGCTACGAGAGCAGCGAGAATCTGGAACATGGTAACGTCCACCTAGACCTCTAGGAACCTGTTTTGAAAGTTTCCAATTTCAAAAGTAGAGTGGTCTCCAAAAGATCAATTCTTTTTTCTGTTTTAATATTTTTAGTTGTAGATGGACACAATAACTTTATCTTGTTTATTTATTTTTATGTGGTGCTGAGGATCCAACCYAGTGCCTCGCACATGCTAGGCAAGCGCTCTACCACTGAGCTATGACCCCAGTCCCAAAAGATGGAYTCTTTTACCCTGATGAACCTAGAAATCGACTTTCCATTTCCAGCCACTTCCCCRTGCTAGTCTGCAGTTGGCCTCTGTRTGTCTTCCTCTGGCTGCTGTAAGAGGTTCATGAATTTCACCTAAAATACCTGCAGCTGTAAAACCTAAAACGTGTGTCTCCTAAGCCCTTACGTAACAACAACCGACATGTGAGTATTAAGAACACTTTTCCACAAGGAAAACTGTGTACCAGGTAGACATCAGGGTCACACCAGTAGCCACCTCTTAAACACCCCAGCTGCTCGGCCTGAGTCCAGTCCAGAAGCAGTTACCATGGAAGAGGATGACAGGAAGGCTACATGTCTTTTTTGTGGTGTCCCTAACACTCAGGGAGCAGTCAGTATRAAGTTTCAAACAGAAGCAGAGTCTTTAGTTAGAATGGGGTCAGGTAAGCGGATGTCACCATGAGTGGTTCTGTGGTTTCTTGTTGTGACCCCCAAATTCCTGTTGGTGCAAGATTAGAAATAGTAGTGAAGGATTCACACTGCTATCGTGACCTATTGAAGACCATCGTGAAAAATGCCCAGATTTGATGGTTTTTAGCTCCATGTGTTAGGATATTCATGAGGGACCTGCTAAAGCAAAGTTTTGGAAACTACAGGTTGCAGTTCATTACTGGGTTCTAAGGTCAATTAGTGAGTCATGTGTAGCAGTTTTATAAGACAAAATAGAGTAGAAAATACCAGAATGCACTCCATAAGGTACGTTATGCATTCCAGAAGTACACTAGTAAGTACTGTGAGTGTTGTGACTAGTACTCTTTGTGTTTTAGTATTATGTGTGCATGTGTGTTGGATGGTGAATGTAAAGTGTGGTTCTTACTATGGATCATGGTAAAAAATAGTGACAGCCATTGTAGGCACCAAAATCAGGACTAAAGTGAGGCAAGTAGGTGCTCAGGGGTCAAACTGATGAGCTGCTCACTCCCCAATACCAGCCTACAGTTGCCTGTCTCAGAATGTTCACTCCTTAGCATGGCATCCTGGGYGCCTTGTTTGCATCACCCTGATGCCAAGTCTTAGACTACCTTGAGGACTTCAAAATTTGTCCTTTAAAGCTCCTACTCAGGGAATTCTGTCAATCTGGGAAGATAGTGAATCTCTCTGTACCCTAATACTCAGCCTTCATCAAGGAACCCAACCCCACTCCACGGAGCACCAGCCATCCTCTGTTGCAGAAAACRTCATATTCTTGTGTAGACCCAGAARGTTTTGTTGTTATTGTTGTTAACAATCTTTCCATAGCCAAAAATTTTCAGTAAATTAGTTGCAACTTTTCTGACTGGGTAAAGATTTCATAGGTATCACTAGCAGAAATGTTCATGCCCCAAAGAATTCAGGTTTATCCACTAAAGAACTAGATGAAAGAAACTGATGAACCAACTTTGAACTCAAGGTGAATTCAAGGATCTTTCCAATCTAATGGGATTTATATAGAAGTTAGGGTAACGGAAAAAACGTATTTCCAAAATTAACGCAAGTGGAGTTTTAAGTTTCTGTTTTAACTGATTTTTAAACTTTAATGTGATGTGTTTTCTGAAGAGGGAATTTTCCATTTATCTGTGATGATTATTCTGTTAATGAAAAATGGGACCATGGTTAATATATTCAGGACTAAACCTCAGCTAATGATCTCTATGTGACAACAAAATAATAACCTACAAATAAATGGCTAGTGTGTTGTTATTTATCAGCGTAGAACATACAGGTGGACGGGGTTTGAAGCCTCATGTAATTATACGCGAGGGAGGACAAATGCCAATTTGACCATGTCTCTGCTTTGCCTAGTGCAAAATATTCCATGTATCGATCTGTGTCTTATCAACAAGGATGGGATCATTAATAAAATGTCTGATTGAGGCCACTGTTCTTCTCCATCCATCTTAATGTGTGCAATTATACTTGATGTGACACATTTCATATCAGCAGTTTGAAATTAGAATGAGCATGGTAGAAACTTTGAAATTATGGAAGGAATCTGTTTTCTTCCTGCTACTAAAGGCCAAGCCACTTGTAACATCAGAGCCCTGGCCTTTTACTTCTCTTCCTTTCCTCATCTATGCAGCATACAGATAGAGATTTTTTTTTTCCAAAAAAGAATGTCTTTCATGTACCCCAAAGTAGCCATTTCCTTTTTTGAGTGGGCACCAACCAACCCTTCCTCTCYCCTCCCAGTCAAATCAGCCCACGGCCTGATTACTCATTGCCACTAAATGTGTTGGGAGGGTGAGATTGCTCCATGAGGAGATGGCAAAATCATAGGTTAAAAATTGTTTTTTTTTTTTTTTGCCCAGTCCTATTTTATATTTTATTTACATACAGGGTCTTATTGAGTTGCTTAGCACCTCACTTTTGCTGATGCTGGCTTTGAACTTGCAATCCTCTTGCCTCAGCCTACTGAGCGCTGGGATTATAGGCATATGTCACCATGCCTGGCTTAAAATTAAAACATTTAAAATATTACTCAAAACAATGTAGTAGGAAGAAACCCTGACTTACAACATAGGGGCTTTCCAAAGATCAGAGCCAGCCATTTCTTCAGATATTCCAAACCTGATATGGTTTTAGGATTTTTCTTTTTTGGGGCGGTGGAGTTACCAGGAATTGAACTCAGCAGCACCCAACCTCTGAGCCATATCCCCAGCCCTGTTTTGTATTTTATTTAGAGACAGGGTCTGAGTTGTKYAGCACCTCGMTGAATTTGTGATCCYCCTGTCCCAGYCTCCCAGGCCACTGGAATTATAGGTGTGCGTCACCACACCTSSCTAGGACTKTTCATTTTTATCTATAGGCCCATAGTAATAGGATCCCTGGGGTCACATAGTCCATTATCAGGGTGGTCTCCTYGGGCATCAGTCCATTGTCATAGCAGATAACAAACATGTTACTAACCAAAGACATAACAAAGGATGGTTTTCATTCATGCCTGTGTGCATTGGCTGTCTGTAGGTTTAGCACAGTGCTTGGCCCATGGCATGCTTTTGATAAAGCTTTTCAAGTGGCAGCAGTTAATATCAATCATCAGTCAGCCAGTAAAGTAGATTGTTTATGGTTGATAATTCAGTGATCAGTCTGACAAGCCATGATCTACCAGAGCCATTTCTTGACTGGGACCTACAACCMTACAAGTATTTACAGATGGTCTCTGGTAAAGTACTCACTTCAGTTTATTTCCTGGACTGAATTAAAGTGGACTGGTTGTTTCTGGATAAATTTGTTAGCAGGGCAGAGCTTCAAGAAGGGTGTGATGTGAGAATTTGTGGATCACCCTTTCAGAGGGACCGTTTATAGAAACTTCCCAGGAACCAGTCCACCTCCCCATTTCATCCATGACATTTTGGACATGTCCTCACCCAGCAGACATCTCAGGGGTGCGGTTTCTAGAGTGGGTAGGGATGTCAGCCTTCTTCGGAGTCAGCTAAGAGCGGACATGAAGCCCCACTTTCTTTCATTGCCTGACCCAGTGTTTCTTTTCCATATAACCCATGCATTTCAGTCCCCATGTGAGTCCTTTTGTTAGTTCTTTCTAAAAATAAAAACTGGGACCCTACTTCCCTCAGAGTCCTGAATGATGGCTTTGTGTCTTTAGTGTCACCCAGCAAGGGGATGTGGGAACTGGAGACATCAGTTGTGCCTGCACATCTGAATGCATGGGTCTGACTGACTGACTGGCTTTCACATGTGATTGTCTCACAGGCAAGACTCAGAAAACTGGCCTCTTATCTGCCAAGTCGTCCACTGAGGCCAGCCTGAAGTCTTTCAACAGAAATCAGCTGGGCAACTACCCGACGTTGCCTTTAATGAAGTCGGTGGACGCGGCGAAGCAGGGAGAGGAGGGCAGGCTGGGCCGAGGCCTCACCCCCGATGCTTCCAAGCACTGTGACCCGCCCTYAGTAACTAGTTTGACTAAGAACCGGAGAAGCCTCCCAGTGTCCATCTGTCGGAGCTGTGAGACCCTGGAGGACCCCCAGACAGTGGGAACCTGGCCTCGATCCCATTCCCTGGATGACCTTCAAGGAGAGCCTGATGCTGAAAAAGATGTGCCTACTGAGGTGACAGAAYCCTCCCCTCAGATTGTACCCGAAGTGCCACAAAAGACAACCGCCTCGACCGCCAAGGTCCAGGCCCCTGGGCGAGATTCCACTGCCGACCATGCATTGCTACTGACCCAAAGCAAGAGATTTTCTGAACCCCAGAAAATGACCACTAGGAAACCCGATGACCCCATGGCAACCACCGACCGAGGCGTATCACCTCCTCAGTGTCTGCCCAGAAACTCTGAGACTCGGCTTCCTGGAGCCAAACACAGTTTAACAAGGACGTCTCTCGAGGCTCACAGAAAAGGACATGATTTTGAAGGAACATACCATCCCCCGGGCACCAAAGAAGGGGCAGATGCTGAGCAGAGGGTCCCTGAAACAAGGACACAGCCCAAAACTCCACAGCCTCCACCTGTTCCTGCCAAAAAGAGCAGAGAACGTCTTGCCAATGGCCTCCACCTGGTGCCCGGGGCCCCTGGCGGAACCCCTCCCAGCCCTGATGCCCCAAGCCTGCCCATAAAGAAGACTGGCCCCTCTGATTGCCCTGTGCCGGCCGCCCGATCACCCACGGGCCTGGAGCCTGGCAGCCCCTCCTGCACCAGGCCACCGCCCTGGCTCTCAGAGCTGCCCGAGAGCGCCAGCCTGCAGGAGCATGGCGTGAGGCTGGGCGTCCCGCTGAGCAGAAAGGTGTCCTGCGCCCGGGGTGTGGATCTGGAGATGCTCACCGAAAGCAAGCTGCACGCYGAGGGCATCGACCTCACCGAGGAGCCCTACTCCGACAAGGTACTTCAGGCGCAGCCCAATGGGCACTGGCTGCAATTTYTGTCCTTTCAGGCAGCCAGGTGAGATGGAGGCCAGCACCAGGAGCCTGGTGTTCTGAGGGTGCTGGATGACCTGCCCCACTAGAGACCCCTGGTGGACAGGGAGCACCATCTCCAGATAAAATGCAAATGCAACCGTGCAATCTACTTTTGCTCTTGCTTGTTAGTTTTTAGTTTGGGGCAGTTTTGCTTTGCAGGGAGAATGATCAGTGCCAAAACTGGTTTGTGATAAGGATCATTTTGTGGACAAAAGATCAAGTCCAAGTGTTGGTATCTACTTGACATGAACACCTCCCCACTTTATTTCCATACAGGTCAGCTGGGGCTATCTACCTCTTTGATGGATCACTGGGAGCAAATAACAGTAAATGGGAACATACTTTGGAAATTTTAGAGCCCTGTTCAGATATAATATACCAATTACAATGAATAATAATCTGTAGATTGTGGAAGGAAAAAAATATTTCAAAAATTACACTCAAAATATTTAGTTCTATAATGAAAAAATCATTTCTCATTTGAAGAAGAAAAAAGATCCACCAGTACCAAATTGAAGTTGAAGACAAATCAATAATAGGGGTGTCTCTATGTTTCTCCTGGAAATGCATGTTTTGTTATGAACATTCTTATTACAAAATTCTCATGGCCATGGATGCCTTTCAATAACTTTTCTATAACCTTTCATGAGTAAACCCCTTTGAAGGGAGAATTCAACAGTGAATGTGGTGAATGCAGTGGTATAACTTGTAACAGATGAAGGGCAAAGAGTAGAATATCTAGAAGAGAAATTCATTTTTCTGCAGTTTAGGAGACTATATTCAGCAACATTGGAGGARCCTGAACTTGCAAAATGGTCAGATAAAGTGATGTGAAGGCATTAGCCTGAAAATTATAGGATGCTCATGTTCTGCCTCATATTTCAAAACGTTTTCCTAGAACTCACCATTATCTGGAAGATGTAAATATATTTTCTCAAAAGCATCCATCCCAGKGATAAAGAACATATATTTACTTCATATTAAAATTTTTGGAGTTATTTCCCAGAAGCTAATTTTCTTATCCTACCTTATGTTTAATTTATCTTAGAAAAAGGATTAAAAAAATCTGTACCACCCTTCATGCTCCATTTTTGTTCTCCCCGGCAGCATGGCCGCTGTGGGATTCCAGAAGCTCTGGTGCAAAGATATGCAGAGGACCTAGATCAGCCAGAGAGGGACATCGCCACCAACTTGGACCAGATCCGTGTGAAGTTACTTCGGAAGCAGCATCGCATGGCGGTGAGCAGCTCATGCTTCAGGGTCCCTCCCCCACTTTCTGCCATGCAGTTAGTAACAGTGCTGATGTCGGGCATTGATGAGTGCTTAGTGGACAAGGGCCTGGCATAGCCCTGGAAAGGAGACAGCTGGGAGAAAGTGACACAGAGTCAGCCTGGAATTTGGAGGTGGTGTGCTGGGGTCAAGCCCAGGGCCTCATGCTTGCCAGGAGTGCTCCGCACTGAGCTGTACCCCAGTGGCTAGAAATTTTTCAAGATACAATTTTAGAAAGAAAATGATCAATAATCCCAGCTCTATGAAAACGTTTTTAAAAAATCCCTCTAATAGACTCAATATTTTAGTTAGGAAGAATAATGTCAAAGAGCTCTTTTGTACCACATAGGACTAGAGTTAATAACCATATATTATATACTGGAAAATTACTAAGATAGCAGATTTCAAGTGATCTCACAAGAAAAGTGCTACCTATGTGAGGTGATACCTAAGTTAAAAAGCTTAATTTAACCATTCGGCAACAGGTCTCTTCATCAAAGCTTCGTATTGTATACCTTAAGTGTCTCCAGTTTTTCACTGCTCAAATTACAATTTACATTTCTGTGTGCATGCATAATAGTAAACGTTATTGTTTTCAGTTATCAGATCATAAATCTATTTTACTGTTACAAAATTGTTTTTATAATCAGTATATCAACATGTTCCATTAGATGATTATTTCTTAACATAGCCAATTGCATATTGTTGAAAATTTAAATTTTTTTTCCAGTTGTTTAGTTTAAATAACATAGTATAGAACATCCTTGTTATAAGTCCTTGTAGACTTCCAGGGTAACTTCTGAGGTTATATTCTTTGCTTAATCAAGATTGTACAAAATCTCCATGATTTTAGGAAAGATATATAACTGCATATGAACCTAGTAGTCAAATTTAAATRTTCATTTCCCTTTCCTGGCCAACACTTGATATGATCGTATTTCTAAGTTCTTTTTAACTATATTAATCAAAAATACTTAATTTTCTGTTTGATAATTCAAATTCAGAATCCAGTAGAAAATCTACTTTATGAAAACCTTTACATTCACACAGGTTTTTCCCTGCAAATCACCTGAGGGAAGAACATAGCACAGAGAGGCAAAATAGGATCTATAAATGCTTGGAGACTTGAACACTAACTGGGATTTAATTCCAGATACCTTCTAGAACCTTCTAGAACACTTTCTTCAACATCTATTTCATCTTCAAGAAGAATTCTTTGTGCTGGTCTTAATTTTAATGTAACACTATCATTTGCTAATAATCTAGCAATGATGTACTTCAGTACCATCCCTTTTAGAAATAAAAGAAGTGGACCTCCTTTGGCACATGTAGAGTCTTTGTAACACTTTTTTTTTTTTTTTTTTTTTTAATTCAGATCCCAAGTGGTGGCCTCACGGAAATCTGTAGAAAGCCCCTGTCTCCTGGGTGCGTTGCCTCTGTGTCCGACTGGCTCATTTCCATCGGCCTGCCCATGTACACCAGCACCCTCTCTGATGCGGGGTTCAGCACACTGAGCCAAGTGCCTTCTCTGTCCCACTCTTGCCTTCAGGAGGCCGGCATCACAGAGGAGCGACACATAAGGAAGCTTGTATCTGCAGCCAGACTCTTCAAACTGCCACCAAGCCCCGAGGCCATGTAGCCAGGCCCAAGCCAGGCTCACGATGGACCTCCCTGGACAAGAGCCAGCCTTTCACTGTGCTTAYGAAGCTGATGCAATTCCTCAATCTCTGGCAGGGCAGCCAGAGCCAGAAGAAGGACCCTGAGCGTGGCCTACAGAGTGTGAAACCCAGGCACAGGACCGAGGACCTTCTCCAGAAAAGCCCCCTGAAGGAAATTGGTGCAGTTCTCTTTGACCCCCAAAGGCAAGACAAGCACTTATTTTCAGAACACAGAAGAGCCAAGATGCTAACGAGCTACAAACACCGTGCCTCCAGTCTGTCTTTGTGAATTGTCAGAGGGCTGGGTGGAAAGGGCAGGACAGCCTGACCCATTTCTGATTACACCGCTGCCCTTCTGTTGGTCCAGTGGATACCCAAGCCAGACAGACTTAGCTAGGCCAAAGTAACAGACTCTGGAGTTATCTACACTATTGACCATGCTCATTTGTTCAGAAGTTAGAACATCTGGCTGCACCAGGAAAAAGAAAGTCCTATCTCCTTTAGATAAACAAAAGACTTTTAAATAATTGCTTCCTAGCAATCAGCTTTTATTTGCCTTAATATGAGCTTCTAAACATTATCTAACTAGTGTCCACAACCCTGTAACCCTAGTTCCAAATCTTCAGCTTAGACTGCCATCTAACATATCTGGGATGTTTCCAGAAAAAATGGGCTTTTCTAATTGTCTCATTTTAACATGGCTTACTTTGTAGGGGTGTTTATCAGGCAGACATTTCATGTTGGATTTCGGCTTTTAAACTAATCACACAGATTTAGTAAAAAGCCGTCTGAAATTCACAAGTTGTGTGTGTGTGTGTGTGTGTGTGTGTGTGTGTGTGTGTGTGTGTGTAACTGCAGTAACTGCCTTTACTTTTAATCAGTTTCATATTCTGCCACATTGGTCACTCTGTTGCAGTATTGACTTGGAATCCTGACAACATCCATTCCAAAATTCAGTCATCAGTTCATGGATCACCTTTGCAGAAAGTCCATAAAGTTGAATATTTCAGAAAGTTGTTTCTAAAAAAGGGAAGTAGTTTACGAGATGCTTTTAAAGTTTTTCTTCTCAGTTTTATAATTAAGATATCGCTGTTCTTCTTATTTAGATAATTCTTCTAATTCAAACAAAGGTTCATTGGAGAGCCAGACAAACCACATTAGCTAGATGTTAAACATTGCATGTTTTCAGTTGTTTTTCAACTGATTTCAGCATATCGTATCCTCTTTTAGTCTGCTGTCTGATTTTCTAGCAAACAGCAAATTTAGATGACTATTAAGGCTTCTGTTGCTTACAAAATGATTTTTTTTTTCCTTCACGTTCTTATCATGAGCACTCTTTGAAGACTCAAATGTGATCAGGTGTACAAGAAACATTTTGAACACAAGACTTGGATCAAAAGTGCTGTAATATTTCATCTACTTAACGAAAACAAATTATTTCCCTCAGGGGAATAGGAAAAGTGATGTCATTAACTACAAAGCCACCTTTAACATAGGCTTGATCTATCTGGATCCATGTCTCTGAGGAAAAGGACATTCTCAGGTGATGTATTTTTTTTCATGCTTTCAGTATGCATTTTTAAAAAATCATGTATGTTTCTTTMATAACATTCATCTCCTATAAGAGGCCATGTGAAGAAGTTGTGGAAATGTAAAATATAAAAGGTAAAGCTGCCAAATTTCTATTAACTCATAAGAACAGCTCATTTTTGTCCTCTCGGACTGTGGATTAGCCCATCTGGAATGTGGGGGATGCTGCAGGGTCCTCAGATAGCTACAGCATTCAAACAATTTTCCATGCTGTGGTAGAAGTGGGGCTTTTCTTCTTACTTTTGAAATACCTCGGCTTCACATTTTGACAGATTTTGCTCTCATCATTTCATGTGGGCAAAATAGACCACAYAAAAGTCATGTTAGAGATTTTAAAAAGGATGTATGGGGGGGGGGGCGACTGTCATGTGAATTTCCAAATTTTAGTTCACTCCCACTGCAGGACTTTCACTGAAACTAGCACCAGAGGTGTTGAGAATGCCAAACCATATTTTTATCACTCTTTGGACGTCATTGCCTTTGCATGAAAAATTAAATTCAGGGACCACAAATAATTTTTAGTGTGAACGTCTGATCTAAGGGGGGCTGAGGTTGTTTTTACTTTATAGTTCTTTTTTAATTTTGTTTTTATATCTTTCGTGTTTGTTTGGTCTGCTTTTTCTTTAACCTTTTAATCTGGTCTGAGAAAAGCCTGAATGTTTGTATGTGACATTTGACTGAGGTGGTGTGGGGCTGCCTGTGGATGTTAGTGGACAGGTGGGAGGCTTTAGCAATATCCAGTTTTAATCAGTTGCATATGGTACAGAATTTTGAGTCACGGTGAAAATCGTTGTCTTCCTTGGAAAGCACAAAAGAAACCTGGAAAGGCAGTTCAGCTCAGGTAGCTACACGTGATATTGTGTATAATTTTTACGTCACAGCTTCTGGAAGGAAATACAGTTTCCCAAATACTATTTACATTCCTAGATAACCGAGAACAAATGGTTTTTTTGTGGGCTTCCTTTACTCAGAGGYCCTTTTCTCTGTCCTGAACCCAGGTGTGGTTGAAATTAGAAATGACTCGTGTTAAAAATCAGTTCCTGACATAGCCAAGTTTGCTTTTATAACTGCAGCAAAAGAGATCAACCCCCAAGTCACTGCTACGTGTGCATACTACATTATATTAAAAAAAAAAAAGTAATCGTCTTGAGTCCAAGTTATCTTGATTTTAAATTAATAGAGAAACTGTCAAGCAAGTTATATAGCAACTAACAACATTGCACTTTCTGTATATGAAATCAATATTTAAATAACTTATTTTTCTCCATTGCTGTTCTTAAACATTGTAAGTAGCTGTAATATACCAGTACCAATATGTTCTTGCAATTGCTTCAGCCCAAGAAAGCTGTGTATTGTTTTAAAAATTGTAAAAATTATTGTGACGATTCATTTAGCAAAAAGAAAGGTGGACAGAAGGGTTTTCCTATGTATCAGAACTTGTCTATAATTATGTCATCTATGTACCTAGAAAAAAAAGTAAATAAATTTCTTCAGTTGAATCTTCTTCTTTTGTTGTTCTTGGGATATTTCAAAGATGAAGGGGTATATATGAAGGGGAAATTAAGAAATGTGGTTAAAAATGAAATATATTGTGAAAATTATAAACTATTACTTCAGCCACATCTCCACACTATCTGACATGTACCTGGATTCTCTTTGTTGATTTATTGTATTTTTTTTTCAAATATTCATTGAGTCATATAATCACAGCATCTTAGAAAGAGATTGCTGGAAATCACCTCTAAGCCTATCATTTTCAAATGAAGAATCTGAGGCCCCATTGGTGGTGGACTGGCTCAATATTACACAGTTAAAAGATAACAGAACCTAAGACTTTCTTTAAAAGAGAAAAAAATCCAGCTCTGAATTTTGTAGAAATTAGTCAACTTGACAAAAATGTATTTTCATTGTTACCATACCACAATTGATAACAAAGACTTTTTTTTTTTAATTCCTAGTGCTAGGAATCAAACCCAGGGTCTTATGCATCCTAGGTAAGTGCTCTACCATTGAACTGTACTCTCAGCCCCCAAAGACACATTTTTTTTTTTTTAATTAGGGAAGCAAGGTGTTTGTTATACAAAAAAAAAAAAATTAGTATATAATATGTGTTTAAGACATAAAAAAATCAGCCTCCTTTCTGGGCAACCTCCTCATTCCTGTTTCTACAGGAAGCTATTATAACAGTGTTGTTATAGTTTAGCTTTTCAGAAATATTCAACTATATATACAAATATACGTGCAACTATATTTGTATATATACTTGAATATCATGCAGAAATGATAGTATATTCTTCACACTTCCTCACCCTCATTTTAAATTAATATACCTTGGGAATCTTTCCATGTCAACACCCTGCCTTCTGTTAAAGGCTGCAGAATATTCTATTATGCAGGGAATTTATTTAACCGGTATTCTATGAACATATAACTTTTGCTGTTACCAAAGGAAAAAAAAAGCTATTATGAATACTATTCCTTTATCACTTACCATGTGGAATAGCTGTATTCAAGTTATTTTTATTCTAAATCTTGATAGAATATTTTAAACCTATTGGTGGATTTCACTAAAGGAAACTACTAARGTAGTTGTTTTAAAATGATTGTCCCCATACTCCAAATCATTTTGGAAATGGGAATATTTCATATATTCTAAGAGTTGATCTTAACTGCTACATTACTTTAAAGAACTAACAATAAACTTCAAACCCTGTTCATTCCAAGCTGACTGCAAAGTCAATTCAAAGAAAAGACATTTCTCTTAGGATTCCTAAAAAGACTTTATCAGTAATCACTCTTCATATTTAGAAGTTATAAAGAACATCCATTTTATTAGGGAAAAAGAAAGAAGGTGATGGATAACCATTCTTTAACGGCACAGTTCATTTTGGAGTTCCTAGAATCATGACTTCCTTTATCCTTAGCTACAAGGACCCTTTCAGGGTAAACTATACACTGGACTACCCAGGACTGTAAGCATGTATGAGTTTTGGGAGAGAAAGAGGTGAATTTTCATTAAGACAGAGGTCAGGGGACCACAAACAACATTTATTGGAAGCATTTCAGTTCCTCATTCAAGGCCCCTCCAGCAACATGAGTTCAGAGAAGACCATCTTGCAAAGAGAATTTAAGTTTATTTCCTGCTATGACTTGAATATGTCCCCAAAGTTCAYGTATTGAAAACTTAATATCAAAATTTATATAATGATGATATTTGGAGGTGGAGCATTTGGGAGGTAATTAGGATAAGATGAAGTTGTGAGGGGGAGACCTCCCACAATGGGCACTAGTGGTTTTTTTAAGGAGAAAGGGAGCTGGCACTCTTGCTCTATCTGGCCAGGTGATGCCTTCTGCCATGTTAGAATGAAGCAAGAAGGCCCTTACTGGATGCTCCCCCTCCATCTTGGACTTGCCAGCCTTCCTTCCAGAACTGCAAGGAAGCAGTCGTGTAGTTTATAAATTACCTGGTCTGTTGTTTTATGTTACAGCAAGACAATATGGACTAAGACCACCCCCTATACACTTTAACAGACACATCTGAAAGTCCTGATCAAAGCAAGCTTGAGACCAGTATCAAAGAACTCCAGGGTACATTTGTGGGAGTCATAGTAGTTAAGAATAATCTCACTGGAATTCACCTCCATCTCCACTCAGCTGCAATAGACTTTCTCCAAAACTTAGATAAGAAATATGTTTAGAACTGTAAGAGTTGTATGCAAAGGACTGTATGAACCTGAGGGTGAACTGAGTCGGGGGAMGGAAAAGACTGGAGGAGATAGTTACATAGATGATAATCTTGTGTCATTTTCTAAGAGTGTCAGACTGTTAAAAACACAAAGTTCTGAAAGCGCAAGAAAATAATTGRCAAATGCCATCTCCTGCAAGCCCTAACTCCTGATTTTCCTACCCCTCTCATGAGTGAATGGTCATTTCCCTACCTGGTAGGAAAAGCAGAAACCATGCATTGGACCTCCTCCCTGGATCTTTCAGTCCACTTGCAAACTCTGTAGCATCCTCATTTAGTCTTCCTTTCTTGTTTCTGCCATTAAAAGAGAGAGAGAGAGAGAGAGAGAGAGAGGTGTTGGTCCACCTGCCTGATCCTTCTACTTGAACTCAGTATCCCACAGTCCTGAGACCCCAAGCCATCATTGATTCCCTGGCTTCTCTGTAGCTTCCTCCTGAACTTGGTGGCAGCAGACCATTGCTCTTCTTTTCAGACTCCCCCACTTCTTTCCCTTTTTTTTTTTTTTTTTTTTTTTTTTTTYTATTTATWCTGTGTTTGCTTTGGGGGAAATGCACCATCCATCTTTCAAGTGATCTTGGCACTTGGCACAACTTTGAGTTATGCTGTCCCTGTCCACCTCTGAGCAGTGAGCACGGTCCAGGCTCCTTGCTATGGAATTAGGCTCTTGGGCCAAATGTCTTCCACCTAAGAGTACAGGAACCGAACAGTGCTGATGGAAGTGCCCCATAGTGATGCCCAAGAGGCCATAAAGCCCAGCAGGAACCCTCTGCCTTCCTGTTCTTCTCTTTGATTCCTTGTGCCAATGGCTGCCAAAAATTTTTGCTTATGTCCTAAATAATTCAAACACTAAGAACTCTCTTGAACCTATTAAAGTTCCCCTATACATGTTCTTAACCATAAGTTTAAATATTTGCACTGCTACACATTCCCTCCTTACTTTAAATATTTTCATTGAAAAAAAAAGCTGCATTCCTTTTAAATATATATCCATTGGTAAATAAATACCATAGCAGTTTGATACCTTCCCCTTGTCCATTGAAAGGACAAAAGAACAAACAATTTAAAATTTTTATTCTATTCCTTTTCCTTCTAGAGGTCCTATATCCATTCTACTTCCACCACAGATTTTCATCCTGATGTAATAGGTTTCTATATGTACCTTTTTGATCATCCCATCATATTTTTTCATAATAAAAATATTTATGAACAAAAATTTAATTCCATATCTTTTGATTATTATGCTCTATCTGTTAAGAAATCTGGATTTTGTTATCCCTATACATTATCATTGATCAATTATTTACCAATAATAAAACAGCATTATTATTGTAATTTTGACAAGTAAAGGTCAAATATAAAAATGAAATTTGGAAATGTTCCACATTATTAGATGGATGACAGCCAGGTGGCRGGGGGATCCTGCCGAAGGGTACCTTGGTCCTAGAAAATGTTGCAACAGCAGTTATTTACAGTTATTTCCTGGTTGTCTGAAGCCCCAGAAATTTTTACAATCTGTTAAAACTGTTAAAATAGATGCTTTTTTTTTTTTAATAAGAGAAAGGCTTTTATGAAAGAAAAGATGAGAAAGAAACCCGGCAGGATGATCAGGCAGATCAGTATGAGGACCACATTGATCTAGAAACAGATTCCTTCCTCAAAGCTATCCAAGGCAGCACACTTTGGAAAGAATCACAGATTGAAGACCTTTGCAGTAGGCTACCTGGGGTTCTTC